ACAGTCTTCAAGAGGAGGGTCAAAATATAAAACTGTTTTCCTTTGACGAAGATGTTGGGCTACTGCTCAATCACAGGCGCCGACCTCTCATCCACCCCCTAATATTTTCAAATAACAACTAAGTTTAAGTCATCCTTGTTTCATTATACCATTGTTAGTTTGCATGATTTGCAAGTTGAAAACATTCAAACTCAGACTCATGAATGATTATTGAACTTGCTTCTTTCAAAAGTGAAGGCAAGAGGTGCATTCCGGGCGTGGGGAAGAGATGCGGGACGCGCAGAAGGGAGAGGAGAGAGGCGGACGAAAACGGTGGTGGCAAATGAACACACTTCATACTTCATAGTAGTATAGATATAGAGATAAACAGCCTGTTTGGCTATGCTGCTATAGTGCTGTATGAGCAGTCTTTTTTCTCCTCTCACTAGAACTGTAGCAGCAGAACAGGCCCAAAAGCTAACAAATATTATTTTCCTAAGTCCTCATGTTTGGGTCGTCAAAATCGTATTTGGGATGTAACCATAGGTCCGCGTTTGTGATCTCGGGCCGTTTTATACGTTTGTGGGGTGAGATTCACGTCAAGACGGCGATCTGTTCTTTTGGGCTGCCATTGTTGATCATTAGGCCAAGAGAGTAGAGATGGCTTTTCTCGTCCACCGTCTTTGTTTCTTGCATGACTAGACCAAAGCCTCTTGATCGCCAGAAAACAATTGTTTAATGTGGTTGTTCAACTCTTGGATAAATGCCAATTTCAACTCCGTCAAATAGACATTGACGCCACGATGCTCTTTGTTCGGTTATCTACTGAATTGTTCGATTTCTCTTACACGTAATACGTTGGAGCTGCTCGATAGCACCAATGAGCAGAGGCGGGCCAAACTTGGGCCAGACCAAACGGACATAACACAGACATGGGGCCTAATGTGACAAATTTCAGTAGTACTAAACTGCTTCTGAGCTCTGGTGCTTCTTCTGGGCTGCGTGTTTGTGGACCGGGCCGGGGCATGTTGAAGAGCTGTAATATCCCCCTCTCCTTGGGCATCAGGATGTCTCCTTGTCGGAGTGTACGGGAACTGCCGGTGAAGAGGGACCAAGTCCTCCCATGTCCCAAGCTCCTTCGTCAAGCTAGACCACTTGATCAGGGTTTGATGCATCGAGGTGTCTCTGTCGGCAGAAACACGCCTCTAGAGAACCTATTCATGGTACTGGAGTCCAGAATCAATTGATGTCAGGAAGTAATGGCGATACCTGGTGTTTGGATGAGACCGCCGGCTTCAGAAGCGAAAAATGCATGGAATATAGGGTGGATGGACGACTTAGCAGGAAGATCGAGTTTGTAGGCGACTGCACTGACGTTGAAGGGGATCTTTCAGGCGGCACAGGCCATGTGGTATGAGAGATGTCTTGATGCATGCACAATGGAAGCAATGGCGTGTCATGATGGCCTGAAGGTTGCTGTGCAGTTGGGGTTGCAATGGGTTTCTCTGGAGACCGACAGTTTGGAGCTATTCCATTTGTGGGAGGAGACACAAAGATCCATCATTGGTCCGGTTCTGAAAGAGATTGATGAGCTTAGGCTTGCCTTTCATTTTTTTTGTTTTGTTTTAACATGGTAGTAAAATTTGTAATAAGGCTGCTCATTTGTTAGCTAAGCAAGTCACTAGCACGAATAGCTCGGAGAGATGGTATGTAACTCCAACGTGTATTAGTGATTTGATCATGTACGAGGCCTCGGCCGGTTGATCTACATGAAAGGCAAGCAATGAAAAAAAAAACAGCCCTAAAAACCCAACCAAACAGACTCTATATTATATACAGATTCAAGAGGCAAACCTTGGCCGATCCTTGCTCCCAGAATGTTGTGTATCCCAAGTTCATGTAGATCCGTAATGATCAGCTCGACACAAGGGTCTCAGTCACCCACCTGCACGCGCGAGGTTCTAGGTTCCCTGCCGTGCTAGGTCTGTAGCATGGGCCTGCTAGCTAGGCCGCCTGCATCGCTCGCTCGTAGCTCCCCTCTGAGACTGCATCGATCAAATGGCGAGACTGACACCAACGCGAGGCTCCCGATAGCCCGCACTCGGCCACATGAGGCCCTAGGCTGTCTGCCAAGCTAAAATCTATATCTATGTTTCAACTTTTGTCTATGAGAAATCAATTCTTTTGGTTTTTGCGGCACCACACAAAATTAATTACCTAGTATACTCTAAAGTCTAAAGGTCATTTTACTTCATGCGGGGTTGTTAAAAAAATCCTAAAAATATATTAGACCATTGTATGATGCTGGCGGAACAAACTCTTGCGAGCTTGGAATCGATATATCCAGCTATTCTCGGCATCAATATGCAATAATTATGAAAAAACATCAATATGCCATACGATGATTTATGAGAGAATTTGCTCATTGCCATCAAAACTTATACCGGTTCCCTGGTTGCCATAAAAAATTATAGAGTTTCTTAACTGCCATCAATTTGTAAATTTTATTCCTTAACTGCCATCATCTTCAAATATATGGGTTTTATTTCCTTAACTGACATTCATTGAGATAATTTGCTTCCTTCATTGCCACCCAAGTTACATGCCCGTGCTCACTTGAAAATTTGATTCCGATATCACCCCTGCCCCATAAGAAAGAGTTAGTGCCATTGTGCCATTATTTCTCCTTTTCACGTCAACGGCAGGAAAATTTACATTTTTACCATTATAACGATCGTCACTCGTCCAAATATCATCCTTATAATGATAATTACAAATATACCAGACAAGAGAAGTTATAACATTGGTTTTACCATCTTTGCACATGCGACACGCCACGCCAGTCTGACATGTTGGCGCCCAGTCAGCCAGGGCATGTCAAAAGTCCTTCCTGCCCCTGCCTTGCTCCTCTCTCTCCCTCTCCGACAGTTGGGCCCGCAGCTCCTGTAAATGCCACGTGGGCCCTACTCGTTAGCTTTGTCTCCCACCTCCAGACACAACGGTCAAGGCTGTGTCGGTACCGAGCTCACTCGCACCATGGCCACTAGGGCTGAGCTCGCACGGGATAGTCTGCGTCAGGGCTGAGCTCACCACAGCCGCTGGGGCAGAGCTCACCGGGGCAGTCTGCGTCGTGGTTGAGCTCGCCATGGCCGCGCGGGGCAGCCTGCATCGGGGCCGAGCTTGCCCACGGCCGTGCTACGCTCACCATAGCCGTAAGGACCGAGCTCGTCGCTCCCCATGGCTAAGGTCATGCTCACCCATGCCATGTCCACCTTCTTCTTCTTTTTTTTTAGAATGCAGGGGATTTTAAGGAAGAAGGGAAGGGCAGGGGAGTCATTTCCACCCACGTGTTGATTGGCCACCAATGTGTGTGGCGTGCCATATATGCAAAGAAGGTAAATCCGATGTTAAAGCTTCTCTCCTCTAGTATATTTGTAATTGTTATTTTAAAAATAATATTTAGACCACGATCCTTGTAACAGTAAAAATGTAAATTTCCCCCGACAGCGGGCCTTGCCCTTGTCCATCCATCGAAGTTACTTGTATTAGGCTGCTGCACCTCTGTTCTCCGCTGTCGGAGCAGGATGCAAGGATCTACGCCGGAGCCCACAGCGCATGGTTAGGCATCAAATCCTCAGCAAGGATGCAAGCGGACGCACGGTCTGAGAGGCAGCATGCGGACGCGGCGGCGGCGGCATGACCTCCGATGTGGATGTCTATGTGGTGTGGCGCAATGGGGCGAGATGGCTTGTGTCAGTTCCGAGTCCTAGTCCGCGTCTCCCAGGCTACGCGCCTACGCTCCTCCATCATGTGGAGACTTTTCCCTGTGTGCCATTATAAAAGATCGTAATCCTCTGTGTGCCCCTGGAAAAATTCAGCGGTCTTCAGCGCCACTACTCCAACACCGGGTCCTCCATGTCACTTCCAAGTCGATTCGAGGCTCTAACTTGCCGTCAAGCTGCAGTGTGAAAAAATCTCAAAATAGAAAATTAGAGTTCAAATATGTTATAATTTTTTTATAAAATTATTTTATTTACTTCAAATGAAAAAAATATGATTTGATATGATTAATATATCTTAGAAAATCATATATATTTTTTTATGGAATTAAATAAAAAAATAATTTTATATGAAAATTATAGATCTCGATTTAGATCTACAACTTTCTAGTTTTGAGTTTTTTCATTTGAAAATAAGATGCTCAAAAAATTAATAACATATTTGAACTTAAGGGCATTTTCGTTTTTTCACACTGGCATTTGATTTGCGTTAGAGCCTCGAATCGACGGAAGTGGCATGGAGGACCCGAAAAAGTTGAAGTAGTGACGCTGAAGACCGCTGAATTTTTCCAGAGACCCATAGGGGATTATGATCTTTTATAATGGCACACGGGGAAAAGTCTCCATCACGTGGCTTCGGACGGGGGGCTGCGGAGACGCGGCGGCGGGGGAGCAGTGCGGCCAGGAGCCGAGGGAGCAGGTGGCCAAGGCCGCGGCGGGCGAGGAGCGGAGGAGTCGGCGAGCGGCGACGAGGTGCGGGCGCGGGGGAGCAGCGCGGACGGGAGCCGAGGGAGCAGGCGGCCGCGGCGGGCGGCGCGGGACGCAGAGCCGGTTGGCGCGTGAGGGATACGCGATGCCACAAAACCGACTCTGCGACTCATCTTCCCGGCCAATAAAACCCTGGCGCGTCCCAGAGCAATCGATCCCAAGAGTTTTCGATTCCCGCATCCTGATCTCGATCCCCGACCACGTCTCCGCGCGCGCTTCGCGATCTCGACCCGGCGGCTCCCTCGATCGATTCCGGCAAGGCCGCTGGTGCTTCTCCCTCCTCGCCCGATGTCCGCAGGTGCTCCTCCCTCCTCGCCCGATCCCCTCTCCTCTCGAATCGCCGCCCCTTCGGATCCTGCTGCGATGCCGAGCCCTCCTCCGGCCCCACCCGCGGTGGCGGAGGATGAGGAGCGGCCATGGCCTCCGATGTAGATGAAACTTTTTCCGTACGCTGTGTACTGCGTGTTCGGTGGCATGGGCCGCACCGGGGAGAACCTCCTCGTCGCTTGCGTCGTGATCCACTATCTGAACATCATCGTCAATCTCCTCTCCTTCTACACAGACGGTGAGCAGGCCCGCTTTTGGACACTCGTGAGCCGCATCGTGCAGTCCCTCTGCTACGCCTCCACGACGCTCATCACGTGCGTGTTCATCCGCTACTACATGCGCGTGGATGGGGAGTACCACGTGACGTTTCGATCCGCCCCAGCAGAACCTGCCGCCGGCAACAGCAGCGGAGCAGCCCCCACCGCCCCCTCCGGAGATGGACATGTGTTAGGTTTGGTCCGTGTGTGTGGTATGTGTTTTCTTGCTGGCCCCAGGTGCCTTCTCGTACCCATTCTTCAAGTATCTGTTTTAGTTGCTTACTTACAGGTGTGTTGCTGCTCTCCTTGTTCAAGGTACATGCCCTCCCATTCCTGGCCCTATCTTTGATTATATTCAGCATCTTTAATGTCATATTGCTTAATTATGCAGCTATAAGTATCTGAAATATGAAATACTAAGTTTTCAAACAGAAAATATCTGGATTTTAGGTTCCATATATAATATAGTTTTCTGTGGCCATATGATTTGGTGCAGATTTCTTTGCTTGTGCTAATCTGTTTTCAATTTGTTTAGGCACCACTAGAAATTGGAAGATGCTTCAGGTGCTTCTTTTTTAGCTATTAAATGGTATGTTTTTTCAAGTCTATGCTCAATCTTGTGTTCATACTTCAGTAGTTGCATTGTGGGAGCACTCCAGTGGATAGAAATTTATTACTTATTGTTCTAGTACGTCTTTTCCTCGTTTATTACTTTCTGTATTTTGTGTTATTTGTGATAAACAGGCTTTGTGATGAAAGGATCAATGGGAAGGACCAGCGTGCTGAAAAGATTTTGCTTTCTCTTGCCCCACCTGCCGAAGCAAAGACAGAGGACACTTGATGGCCCGAGCTGAACGTGACCATCACAGAAAAGTGGAGGAAAAGAGCAGCCTGTTGAGTGCCGTGATAACAAAAATGCCAGCGCACTAAATCAGGACAGAGCACAAGTGAGCTGGAAAATACTGCAAACCTAGTGGGAGAAGACCCAAGTTTGAAGTTATTAACTGCAATAGCTATTACTTTTGTGCAGTTCGAAGTTTCTCATTTGCAATAGCTAGGGCTTGTTTAGATGCAAAAAATTTTGCAAAATGAGTACGGTAGCGTTTTCGTTGTTATTTGGCAAATAGTGTCCAATCATAGTCTAATTAGGCTTCAAAGATTCATCTCGTGAATTTCGTCTAAACTGTGTAATTAGTTTTATTTTTTATTTATATTTAATGCTTCATGCATGCGTCCAAAGATTCGATGTGACGGGGAATGTGAAAAATTTTGCAAATTTTTTTGCAAACTAAACTGGACCCTACTTTTTATTCATAGATCAGTATCTTTAGGAAAGATTGAATAAGATATGGTTTTTTTATGTCTCTAAAAGAATTTCCAGTTGCCATTGTCTGTCTTGGAGTGCTAGAAATAAATATTTTTGAGTTTACTTTGTCTCGTGTTACTTGGGTTTCTTTTGTTTTCTGTGTGTCACTCCTGGTGACCCAAGTGTGACCTCTGTAGTATATGCACAAAAATAGCACTACTGTTGAAAAAGGTCTGTTTTTTTTTAAAAAAATGGTACAGAACAAAGGTTTCTATATCTATAATAGTTTAGTTACATGCATTTTTAGTATCTGACTGTAAAAAATAGGACAATTGGCAGCATCTGGTACTTCAATTGCACTCTGATTGGGAAGTCTAATTGAATTGTGGTGACTGCCTGACTGGTGTTGGGTCTCACACAGAGGCAATATGCGACATGTGCCAATGGCTATGTGATCCCTTTCCACTAAATGGAACAGCTAAGGATTTTATTTTCCCTTTTTGTGCGCATAAAAAATGAAATGAACTGACTATTAATACAATTGTACTGTGCCACAATAATTCTGTTTTATGTTTTGGAATCAGCTAGTCACTTGATATATGTCAAAACTGTTAATCTGATAGTATTTTTCTTGTTAGTGATGTTGATAGCTAATCTAACATTTCGTTTGCGTGACCTTTTGAATTATTATTTTGCAAACCTTCGGGTCTAGGGACAAAGATAATGCCAGATATCGTCTCCCTAGATGAAGTTCTCAAGTGCAAGGCTTTCCTTCTTTTCTATGAGAAGATAGAAGCTTAGACATGTACTCCCTCCGTATAGGATTTAGAAGACATTCTAGCGCTTAATCAGAGTTGAGAAAAGGACGTCGTTGTACCGCGCATGCAAAGCTGTGGACGCTGCTGCCCCTGCATGCACGCGCTCCGGCTCCCACGCCGCGCTCGGCCCACGAGTTAATAAGCGCCGCGTCAAGGCAGTAATCACGCGCCGCCTTCCTTTCTCTCCGCAGCACGCTCGCCTTCCTTCCTCTCCGTAGCACGCTAGCCACTTGTTCCTCTCCAGCCGAACGCTCGCCGTGGAGTCCGGCGTCCTAGGGTTTAGGGCTTGCCTTCGCTTCCTCACCATGGAGTCCGGGGGCGTAGGTGCTACTCGCCGTGTAGTCCGGCGGCGCGGGTGCTGCTCGCCGCAGAGTCCGTCGTCGCGTCTGTTGTTCGCCGCGGAGGACATCGTGCCGCACTTGGAGGAGTTCGCCGCGGAGGAGTCGCAGGAGGTCGTCGCGTTTGAGTCGCAGGAGGTCGTCGCGCCGGAGTCGCAGGAGCCGGAGGAGGTCGTCGCGCCGGACTCGAAGATGGAGGTGGTGCCGGAATCGCAGATGGCGCCGGACTCCATCACGCCGGAGTTGCTGGAGCTCGCGCCGGACTCGGAGATGGTGCTGGATTCCTTGCTGCCGGGCTCTTTTCTATGCGCTCGCTGTCATCTCGTCCATGAGGACCGCCAAGCATGGAATCGTGCGCACTTGCGGTTCTGGCCATGCTCTCGCTGCGGTCTCTTCCACGCGGAATACATAATCCGCGCCATGCTTCACAGCCTCGACGAGTTCGACTGCGAGCTTTTCATCCAGCATTACAAGGATCTGTTGCCGGCAAAGGATGACGCCAAAGCATGGGTAAGATAACTAGCTTTAGTTCTAATTAACTGTACAAGGATATCTCTACTAATTAAGCTAACTAGCATCAATCTATTTGTTTCATGCAGCAAGAGTAGCCTCGGCTTCATCTAGCAAAGATGGATTACAAGGGATAGAAGATGGCAGCCGATCTTCTCTTTCTAATGTTTCTTTTTTCATGTGAGGAATCTTGAACTTGTTGCATCCTTTCACCTTCATAGCTTCCATCAAAACACTTTGTAGCGTTACAAACATTTGGTTTGCTTTGTGTGCCGAGTACTCCAAGAATGCCTACAAAACAATTGTGCAAGAAATGAATGAATGAGCAAATTTATTGTTGAAGAAAACATTGAAACATGTGTGAACAATTTGATCATATTACCTCTTGTACTGCTAGAACTAGAGCTTCTATTGTTTTTGCATTCTTCTTGTATTGAATTGCTTGAATAGCTAAAAAAAACCCAAATCAAGAATGTTGAAATCCGGAGAGTTGGGTGGTTGACAAATTAGGCGAATATCAAATCCTTCTTGCTTAGCAGCCTCACAAAAAAACAGATCATTCAATTTTAAGTGGGAAGATGCATTATCCTGTTGAATGAAGATTAGTTTGCCCACATCTTCTCTTGGCCATTTAGCTCGAATGGCAGACAACACTTGGTTGATCATAAAATCTCTAATCACTCTCTAGTGATCGAAGTTATGGGCTTCATAACCAAGTCTCCACAGACACGGCCGGTTCTCTCATTACCTCTCATAGCCGGTTCATAAGTAACAAGTGGAAAACAATCAATCCTGCCATCAAAAATACAATTCCCATCCCTAAACCTTGGCCGAGCACAAACACACAAGAACATGAGCCTAGAGATATAATTATTGTTCTTACAAGTCCGATGGGGATCATCTTCTTCGGGAAGCAAATAATATTTTTCAGATTTTTGAGATAGGTAGAACCATTTTTCATCAATGAACACAAAGTCAAACAAATCCTTAAACCTTGGATCATCAAGCAAATCCCTCTTAATCATGTCAACACACCACTTTAACCTAGACCTCTTGTTAGCTTCAGTGAGATATGGTTTGATGCTACTAGAGTGGCGCCTAAGCAAACCTTTTTTAAAATACTTTTTAATCTTCCATTTGCTCATGTTTAGTTTCATGCACACATCCTCTATAATCATTCTTTCCTTTAGAGGAATGTTTCGTAATGCTTCCAAATCAACAGGGATTGTCTTACGACCAACTTTACCCTTCTTTAAACTAGAAACCACAACCGGAACTGAGTTTGCAAGTTGTATTTTACCTCGCTTCCATAATCGCTGAACTGACCGAATATGAAGACCAAATTGAGCAGCAACAAATGCAGTATCTTTCTTGCCTAATTTCCCATTGATGCTTCTAGCCAACAAAGCCTGATAAACTTGTTTTCGGAGCTCTTCAGACATTTCTTTCCTTCGGTGGGGTTCTTCAACTTGTTCTTCAACAGGAGCCTCCACAACATGTTCTGTTAAAAGAAAACAAACATTAGTTGCCACGGCATGTTCTATTAATAGGCACTGCATGTTCTATTCATAGAAAAAAAGCACATTCATAATATGCTTAGCCACGGCATGTTCTATTCATAGGAAAAAAACAAGCACATTCATAATATGCTTAGCCACGGCATGTTCTATTCATAGGAAAAAAACAAGCACATTCATAATATGCTTAGCCATGACATGTTCTATTTATAGGAAAAAACAACCACATTCATAGTTATAATTAGTCACAGCATGTTCTAGCTATAGGGAAAAAAAGCAAGCACATTCATGCAATACTTAGACACGGCATGTTGTAGCTATAGGAAAAAAACTCATTTATAAACCTTACCGGGCAGGTTTTGTAGATAATCGAAATCAACCGCACCAAACTCGTCTAGTGGCAAGTTCAAATCAAACCCTGTCCAAAAAAGAATAAAGAAAATGAGAAACATTAGCACACGTTGTTGCTTTGAATAAAAAAAAGAACAAACGAACGGAGTACATTACCATATGTGGTGTGATCCTCCAATATTGCCTCATTGAGATCGAATGGAAGATTGTCGTCGTCATCTTCTTCTACACGAACGTTCAAATCGAATGGATTAGCTATTGCGGTGGAGAAGAGGTAAGCCATGTCGTTTAAGCAAGCAAGCAAGGAAGGCAAGGGAGGATGAAGCACTTGAAGCGTCGGACCTGCTGAGCACTTAAATAGATCAACCAAGGACCTGCTGAGCACTTGAAGCGTCGGACCTGCTGAGCGCGCGCGCAGTGGAAAAAAACGAGCGCCAGTGCACTTAAACGCAAAAAACAAACCAAACTAACAAGGCTAAACGCGCCTCATCGTGGCTGAACTCGTACCAACGCAAAAAATCGAACGCTGGAGCGCCTCCCTTGCCTTCCTTGCGAACGGCAAAATCGTGCTGAAACCACCCAGCCGCAAACGCGAAAAAAAACCGAGCCATGCAGCCAAAGCGCAAGCGCCACGCAGCAAATAGTGCCATGCAAAATCAAGCCACAGCAAAAAAAGGCGTCCCCGTCGGGTTTCGAACTCGAGTAGCTGGACTTCCAGCTCGATGCACTAACCATCCGAGCTAAGGAACTTTCTCGTATGGAATGCACCCGTAACCCTATTTAATAGGGGCGGATAGGGAAAAATATCCCATAATTAATCACTCCTTGGTAAACACAATCATGTCCTAAACGACTTCTAAATCTTATACGGAGGGAGTATCATATTATGCCCAAGCAATGTTTTTAGGGCGGCTGGTCGAGCCTGGACGCCTGAGGACCGTCCAGGACGTCCAGGACGAGTTAGTCGTCGTCCAGGACGATTAATCGACCCTGGACGAGTC